GTATTTAACTATGTGTAGAATGCTTTGTACTATAGCTGCTCCACTTTGATACCCTTAGCAATTAACTATGCAAATAGCTATTTAGCTATTTGACTATATTGATACTTAGGGGATTAGACTTCTATAGCTATATAGTATTTCTAGTATAACTCCTGCTAAGGTTATTACCTCTTTAATTGCAACTAGTTCTATTATTATACTGTTAATGCTGCTTTCTATTTTAATTTTTTAAAAAAGAATGGATATTAATATAGGCTTTTTAAAATACACTGCTATTCCAACTTCTACTTAGCTGTTAGTAATAAAGCTATTAGTAAAAATGTTTAAATGTTAATTCTTTATTTTAAAATAGTTCTTATATGCTTTATTAAAGTTGTATTAATTAGGTTTATAATTAATTGCTATTGTGCTTTATAATAGGGTAATCTATATTAGAATAGTTTCTATATTTATTTCTATCTTTTCTAGCTATGTTTTTATATTATAAAGAGGGGAACTAAACAACTTTGCCTTAAGCTTTTTAACTAGTTTTCTAAGCTATATCTTTAATAAGTTAGTTTCTAGCAGCATATAGAGTCCTACCTAGAATTTGCCAATCTTCAGTTTCAGCTAAATCTATAAAAGGGGAAGTAAGGCTTCAGCATTAAACGCTTTAACTAAGGTTGTATAGAAGTATTTAACAATTGCTTAGGCTCCTATTCTTTATATAAAATTAAGGATTTTAGCTATACTGTTATTAATCTTTCTTTTTAAGGACTTAGAATACTACGCTATAGCTATATAGTCTATTCTTAAAGCCATTATAGCTTAATATAGTTGTTATGCTAATTGTGAACTAATATAGGAGAGGCGTTTAAGCTAGCTAGCGCTTCTCTATCCTCTTATTTTGACTTTAGCTAAGTGGTCTTTAAATCTCAATTCAGTATTAAAAATTACTTTTAAAATTCTCTCTTTTATAGAAGGTTTAACTATATAATTGCTTACTCTAAGTAGGGAGTCAGTAATGCTAATCTTCTTATAATTTTGTATAAAATATATAAGAATTATTTTATTGCTTTTAAATATAGCGCTATTATTTTTTACTTATTAGAGAGCCTTTAAAATAAATTTATTATTAAATATTAATATATTTTGTTTTATTAATTTTAAAATAGCTTATTAAATGTAGTTATTTATAAACCCTATATTGCCTTATCTCCTATTAATCTTTTTCTTTATTAGGAACGCGTTAAAGAAGATATATAGAATTAGGGCAAGTGTTGATCTTTATAGAAGGCCAGATTCTGCAAGGGTGACTTAGCTTAATTCTATACTGTTAACTAATACTATAGCTAATTAATCAGTATAGAAAGAATTAACCTATACAATTATATAGGTTAGAATGCCTTCTACATATAGCTAACTAATAAGCACCTACTAAAAAACGCTATTATATGCTCCCTTTATATTAAAGCTAATAAGGGAAAGGTCTTTTTTCTACTATTATGCCTTAAAGATTTTCTTAATTAAAAGGAGCAATGCTTAATTATATAATTATTTTAGCTTAGCGCTAAATTATATCTTTAAAAGGAGATTAAGAGTCTTAGCCTAATATAATATTCTTCTTACTAATACAAGTTCTATTAGCTTACTTAGAGTAGCTAAAAGGGAGATAGGGCAGTATGCTTTTGCTATATAGTAATCAGGTTTTCCTAGCTTTTATAATAGTAAGATTTATGCTGTTTTTTATATAGTTAGTATATATCCTAATTAATACAACGTATTAAAGATTTTAATAACTTAGTTACTTAAAGTGGATTATAAATGTTTCTATACAATTTATAAATATTTCTATACAATGTTTAAAATACTATTTATGCTTAGCGCTTTATATAGGCTAATTTTAGCTATTGCTCTAGTTACCTTTTTGATAGAGATATCTAGATTGTCTATATATCTTGTATTAAGGTTTAGCGCATCCTTTTTCTAATTTTTAGGGACTAGTAGGAAAAAGCATTAGAGTAGCTCAGTTGCTTTAACCTTATTACCTTTGAGCTCCACCTCTTAGCCTTTAATATTAGTAATTATAATAAGGATATTGCTAAATGCTGATAGTTGTAAATCAAAGTATTAAGCTGCTTTTCAGATATTGTCAGTCTGTGCTAGGAATTTATTCTAATATAGTTGTTTTTTATTATAGATGCTTTTATAAAACTAGTATTTAGCTTACCTAGCTTTGTAGCAGCTTTCTTTGCTATCTAGTCCTATAGTTTGTAATGTAATGCTTTAGTTTAGGCGTTATATATATTTATTATATAGCTCTATAAGTTTGTTATTCCATTATACTTATATATATAGTGATTCCTTAACTATAGGGCTATAGTTATAAATATATTAGCTCATAGTGTCCTAGATCTTTATAATTACCTAATTAAGCTTAGTAATATTATTAATGTTATTAACTAACAGTTTCTATCCTTTAAGTGCTTTAATAGCTATATTCCAATTTGTTTTTCTAAAGTTATATTTAGCTTTTTATAAAGCAGTTATTTTGGCCTTATTAATTCAAAATATTATAGCTTTATAGTCTAACCTATATTAGGTTAGGTAGATGCTACATTTTATAACCTAGTCTTTTATTAAATTAGACATTAGTATAAAATCAATAGTAGTTCCAAATTGTCTTTATTAAAACGTGATTGTGCTATTTAGTAAAGCTAAGAAAGTATTATATTATTGCATTTATTAGAGCACTAGTTCACTTTTTTCTCTATATTATAACTATAGTATATTAATTCCTTCTTATATTAGGTTATAATAGTTAAAGTCACTTCTAATTATAATATAGAGGTTCTCTCCATATTTAGCTTTTGCTTTCTAGATTGCTCTGCTTAGAGCATTAAGCTTAGTAGTGGCTGTCTCTTCTAAGTCCTGCTTAAAAGGCATATATTAGCTACAGCCTAGGATGTAGATTAACGCTATGAAAATATATCTTATTAAAGTAGCAATGACCCCTATTATTATATTAGATAACATTATAAGGATCTGAATAAATGAAATATCTTTATAGATATAAAGTGCTAATTAGAACGCGTAGTACATTAGTTCTTCTTAGTATATAGATAGTGTTATAATAACCTAATACTAATATTACAAAATGTATAGTTTGCTTTTAATACTAGTAATACTTAGTTTTATAACTATGATTACTATAAACTAACTAATGGACTGGTTATTAATAAGGCTGAGCTGGACTAGAGGTTGTCTATTCACATTTGCTAGAAGGAAGCAGGTGTCCCCTATTATACATTGCTTATAGTAACTTCCTATTTAGTACATTAGCTTATAATTGTTTACCAGTCCTCTTCTTTTGCTTTAATAGGCTGGTTAGAAGGTTTGTTTCCGTTTTAGATTTTACTAATCTTATTTCAGTATACTGCGTATCTAGAGTCTATAGCTATATATAGTTCCTTATATGCTGCACACTTTGGTATTGTAACTATATAGTTATTAATCTTATAGTTATCTATGTATTTTCTATATTTTAGAGATTAGCTGCATCTAGCCTAATAATGGCTATATTTATTACAATTATAGCATCTCTAAGGGCATTAGATTTTATAGTATTAGCTAACTATAGCTATATTACTACTGACTTAGACTATACATTTCTTAAGCGCTCTCTAGGCGTTCTTTACTATATTAAGATACATTATTATAGATTCTATAGGTTTCTCCCTTTTAAAAAGCTAAAACGCCTTAATAGCTTTATTAAACCTATTTTCTATATTAAATTTAGTTACTATTTCTAATTTAATTTTATAAGTGCCTAATACTAGAACTACTGTTTTATATACATTATTAATCTTAATTAGGAAGAGTTCCTTTTCCTAGATTTAGGCTATTTTAAATACCTAATAAACATATACTTCATTTATCTATAGTTATGTTATGTTTTTCTTATTCTAAATAATTACCTTTATATCCTTTACTTTAAATTAGATTTCTTTAATAATAATATTATTTATAAATTATTAGTCTATAATAGCTTTCTGGATTTTATTCCTAATTGCTTTATAGTTATTTATTATTTTACGCTATTTAGCTATTATTTAGCTTAGGTTTATTATAATTTTTAAAAGTTAGTACAGTTTTTTAAAAAAGATAAGTAATATTATTACTATCGTGTTATTATATTAAAGCTATATAGCTAACAACAATAGGTTAATTAAGCCTAATATTACTAAAGTATAGGAGATTAATAGGAAGGCTGCTATATTAGGGTCTGCTAAGGATATTAAGCTTGCTTATTTAAAGGCTAAAAGGACTGTCTTTCCTTTATTAATATTAAATTTAATAAATTGGATCTTAGTATTTAGGGCTTTAATATCAGTATTGATATTTTTAATATCTGCGCTTGTGCTATTAAGCTTCTTCTTAAGCTCCTTGTTTTTCTTTATAATAATATTCAGTATTGCTATTAGGGTAGTGTTCTCCTAGTGGAAAGTCTTATTTTATTATTCTAGGTATTGAATTTGTTATTCTAGGCATTGAATTTATTATTTTAGGCATTCATTGCTCTTTTAATAAGATATTTCATTATATCTTTTGCAAAGACAGTATTATTATTTGGATTAAGGGAACAAATAGGCTGAATCAGCCCTCTGCTCTATTTAGTGTTTCTTACTCTTCTCTACATTATTATAATAGCACTCTATCCCTTTAGGAACAATGCTAATATGACTATAGCAACAGCGTTACTAGGACAGTTAAGCAGCACCCTTTCCCTTAACTAAAATCGATAGGAGTTGGATAGTCCGACTTGTCGAGTCGGCTTGTAGATGAAACTGTCAATAAAATAATTAATATCGATAAAAATTATCGATGTCGTTTTGCGTCTCCTCGTTGTTTAAATAACGCGTATTTTCAAGCTTAGGTCGGAAGCGAAAAGCGAGTGAGCGGAGTTCATCTGGAAGAGGAGATATAATATAGATACACCCATGAAATTGCGCTTCAACGATGGGGGTATGGTCTAGGGGTATGATTCACCCTTCGCATTGCATTGTTAATGACGAATTGGGTGGGGTCCGGGGTTCAAATCCCCGTGCCTCCATTTTTTACCTTATCTTCCTAGATTTCTTCACTGCGATCTACAGCATCTCAAGCAGGCTTGCCTATGGCGCATACGCTTGTCTTTTTCATACTCATTCAAGCAAGCATCTTTTATGCGATGCTGTCATTATTTCCAGTCCGTCACAATGTATGTGGTGAAAATGATGGCTTGTCATATAGTAATCAGACCGACGTCGTTACCATTTCGGCATCAATTAGCAACGGACTATCAAAGCATCCATAACCTTTGACAACACTCATCTCGTCCACGTTGCTAGCCTTCGTCTTGAACGACCAAGCAGTATGGACAGAGCTGGCTGTACCCCCAGTGTGGAAGACGACATCTTTGCCTGAACAAGTGTTTGCCACGTTGTTACCCTGCGTCTTCGACCATAAACAAATGCCAAAGACGCCCAGCTCCGAAATTACTGGCCCATCATGCCGCCCTGTCCACGAAATCAACGTGTTTTTGATCTCTGGAGGCGTTATCATTTCCATAAGGATATACTCTTTCAATTGCCCCTGCGGTAGCCTCTCAATGAAACCTGGAATTGCTTCGCGGTAAATGTTGTGTCCTCCGCCTTCAAGACTAGGCTTCAGGACGTAGTTGACTGCTGTTCGGACATCCATAGCCAGACGTCTTGCATGGAGTCCTTCCGTGGAATCATCGAGTGGATGGAGAGGCATAGACACAGCTTCTACTTTTCTGGCGTCTTCTGCTCCAAGAAATCGAGAGAGTGCACCAGGTACAGTGAGCTCCTGCTGGACTTTCTTGAGAGTAGCTAGATGGCAGGCAATGGATGGACACTTGATAGCACGGGATCGTTCGATGAGTAAGCGTGCTGCTTGTCCTGTCTCGTCATATTCATCGATGTCATAGCCCGCCCGCATGTAGACGACCGAGACTTCGGTTTCAGCAGCTTCTGGCATAGTGGGTGACGTGAACAGCAGCTCACCCTCATCGCCAATGCGACAGCAAGACATGATTTCTGGCCCAAATACGACACGGTATGAAGAAACTAGAGGGTCCTCTCTCCAGATTGCATATTCAATCGGTCGCTCGTCGGCGATATTTATGTTGCAAGGCTGTACAACGAAAAGAACGCAGGTGCTTTGCTGTGTCATAGTTGTACTCCTGTAGGTTTCATCCGCTCCTGCCAAGGCGTCTGCAATGTTCTGTATGGTCTGGTTGCGCGGCATCGAGGGTAAACGAGCGGAGAATCCTGGCCCGTAAGCACCTTTCAGAGCGAGATGACGATGCATGTCCGCTATTATATTACCATGTGTACCTCCAGCACAGGAGTAGGCATTGAACTCGACTTGTTTAAGTGTTGCTCTTGACATGGGCTCACCAGATCTAACATGAAGCATGTAATCAGACCGGAACACGCCCATAACATGGTTCTGAGGATAGCCATCACGCTTAGAAGTCTGGTATATGTCCCAAAGTGTGCCTATCAGGGGATCGTTCTCGATGAGGTCCTTCAAGACCCTGGACAACCACTCTTCGTCTTCGGCAATCGCGACGTATAGCCTGTTGAAGATGGGTGCCAATTCGCAAGCTTGTTGGAAGAGCCTCTGTGGAAATGGTGTAGGGAAGATTGCAGCCCCAATTGGCCTTGCTGGTACGGTATGAGGTGCCTCGTAACCGACTAGCTTCAGTAAAGAGCCATGTGAGATTTGGTAGTCTTTGACTTCCGTAATGAGAGCTGCAATCTGCTCTTTGGAAAAAGACGGCCAACGATCAGACATCTTGTTAATCACTCACTTCCCCGTGTTTCATACCGGTCACCGGTCCCTCGCGTTGAAGTCCAAGAAGATTGAAAGTGAAGTCGTGGTATTATCGTTACATTGCGACGCCATGATACTCGCGTATACTCGGTGAAGCGGCTGCCGAATCGCCGAGAATAACAAAGTACTACCTTACCTAAGGTATGTACGCCCTTAATTTTCGATTTTCGATTCTCTAAGCAGACCGTTCACTTCAGGGCAGATGCTTGGTTTGTAGTAATACGGCTGCAATCACATCTATCCCGCACCACATTCCTTGATCATTGGACCGAGGTTTGCACCTTATCAATTGTGACACAGGAAGATTGGCCACTCGAACATGGTTGTTTGTAAGTGCCAAGGATCAGACATTGTTCGTATAGAGGGTCGTAGAAGGCTTACAAATACGGCCACGGAATGAGAGTGTCTCCAGGTGCGAACTTTGATTGCCTCAGGATCAGTGATCAGCCGTTTCAAGCTTATATTCACAGCCACAATCCTGAGAACGTCTCCATTCACGAAGCCTTTACAGTATGCTTGTCTTGCGTGCTGCGAGAATTTTGGTCATGACCTGTCATGCAAATCAATGCTGTGATCAAGGGGTACAATCAAGGTCATGGACTCAAAAAACACCGCTCGTCACCGAAAACGATTTGGTGAATGAACCGGTGAACACCTATCTCACTATCTTCTTAAACATCAAGTGTGTCATCCAAAACCATGTCGAATGAAGCCTGGCAGATCTCTTCCCCGTCTGTGCTGACCTTGTACTCCTCTTCTTCCATACCTAAGCCTGGCCGTTACCAGGCATTGGTCCGCATTCATGCAGTCTCACTCAAATTTCAGAGATATCATGGTTCTAGATCATCCCGCTGCCTATCCATCGTCTGCCAAGAAAGATCTGATACCTTGTAATGATGCAGCAGGTATTGTGGAGAAGGCTGGTGAGGATTCCTCGTGGACAAAGGGAGACCGTGTCATTCCCGTTCCTAACACATGGCTCAATGGAGGGTAACCGCAACTATGTGTTCCAAAAGACTGCCGGGGCGGAGAGGAGGATGGATTCTTTGCACAGTGGATAGTTCAAGTGATGTTCTACTTGTCAAGGCGCCTGAAGATCTATCTCTGGTTGAGGCATCGACACTGTTCATCGGCAAAGTCGTTATCAAATGCTGATCGGACGTGGTTGTCGTAATCATAGGCTTATGCTAGTTAACGTTATTCTTGCGAATCCTACTCCTTAGGATACGCCGAAGAAGCTGTACCATATGTACCTACTACGCTCATAACATCGTTCCGAAGGTCCCGATTATTGCATAAGCTTACAACCACTCTTTGTAAATAAATTTGAGCCCAGTAGGCCACAATCCAAGTGGTCGCAGTGTGCCACAAAGGAGAGCCGCACAATACCTGCATGTAATCCTTGGGTTACTATGAGAGCGTCAGACAGGGCTTAGAATATCTCTGCTTGTGTTTGTGTCTAGGCTTTCTTCGACTACTGAAACGAGGTGTCTAACTATATTGAAAGTGAGGGAAGGTTTCACACACGGTGGGGGGCTGGATGTAAATCTCAGGTGCCAGTATGGATTCTATAGCTGGCTTAAGCAGATCCCTTGGCAAAGAACGAGCAGCAGGCTGTCGGTAGATGAATTGGAGATTTACACTGGTGTATCAATCTCTTGTATGTCAATTACCAGATGGTCATAATGGTTTCAAGTATTGAGTCATTGAATATCACGCAAACACATCGGTAATGTCAAGAAGGATAAGTGTCTTTGAAGTACTAAAGAGTGAAATTCATACTCGGATATCATCTAATCATAAGAAGCAATGCTGCCCTATGCTGTCCGTAGCCTCGAAATGTGCTGGCATATACATTGTATTCTTTCAATCCGTCGTGAGGCTGCTAACCATTTAGACCTGCTTCTCGGCCTCAATTCTGATCTCGGTAGCCTTTTCACCAGAGATGGACATGCTTCTCTTCTCGATGACAGCACCCATGGGGCCGATAGATGTAGCGGCAAGGACTTCATCCTTGACGCGGAAGACCGGGAAGCCACCTCTGACCCAGTGGGAAGCGACGTAACCGAGAACGTAGACGAAGCCGACAAGAGGCACAACGAAAGAGATACGGGTGTTGGCAGCATCAGCAATGGCACCCTGGATTGGGGGAAAGACAGCGCCGCCAGAGACACCCATGACGAGGATACCAGCACCGCGGCGAGTGTGCTTGCCTAGGTTGGCAGTTCCCAGGGTGAAGATTGACGGGTACATGGGGGCCTCGAAGAAGTATACGACCATGAGGCAAGCGACGGAGGCTTTGCCATGGCCAGTGCAGACATACGCGTTGACGGCTATGGCACAGATGGCATAGATGGTAATCAGGAAGGTGCTCTCAAAGATGGTTGCGAGACCAGTTGCGATGAAACGACCGACCGTGAAGATGATCAGAGCGTACGAAAGCAGGTTAGAAGCCTGAGCAGCAGTGTAGCTGGCGTTCTCGGTGGCGTAGTTGAGGAAGAAAGAACCAATGGTGACCTGGGCTCCGACATAGCAGAATTGAGCGATGAAGGCGAAGATCATGTTGTACTGCTTGTAAAGAGGGCCCTGCACAATCTCGTTGCCATACTCGTCAATTGGACCAGACTCGATGATGGAGTTCGATCTTTCAGTCTCCTGAACCTCAGGGAGCTTGCTGAAGACGAATAGAACAGCGACTGCAACGCCAGCACATGCGACTGCAAGGTAAACAAATTGCACATTGGTCAGATTGTTTGCGTTAGCTCCTGTGAAGAAGAACTTGGAGGCGATGAGAGGACCAATGAATGAGGCGACTCCATTCCAGGATTGGCAGAACTGCAGACGAGCAGAGGCAGTTGCTGGGGATCCAATCACAGTGGCGTAAGAGTTAGCTGCAGTCTCGAGAGTTGCTAGACCGCAGGCAATGACAAGGGTACAGACACAGAAGCCTCCGAAGGATGCAGCAGCATGCGCCTTGCTGGAATAATGTGCAGTAGGCCAGAAAGCGACGGCACCAACAGAGTAAAAGGCCAGGCCCATGAGGATAGTGATCTTGTAGCCTTTGCGCTTCAGGACGTCGGCTGCGATGGGGGAAAAAAGAAGGTAACCTCCACCGAAGTACATGACCTGAAGACCGGTGGATTGGAGCTTAGTGATGCCGAGGACGTTCTGGAAATGCTTGTTCAATACATCCAACAGGCCATAGGAGAA